GTCACCTAGTGCGGAACCTACGCAGATAAAGACAGAAGAGATGATCGGCATCAATGTTACTGCTTGCTTGAAGTCAAATGCAGTTCAAATCTAAAAGCCTTGAGTTCAGCAAAGTCCGACGTTTTTGCATTTATGAAGAGCATAAAATCAGACATTTGAGGCTAACTTTAAAACCTAAGACGGCTTGGGAACATCAGTCAGAAATAAAAACAAAAACGATGCGCTTTTTCGCAGCAGCTGCCTCTGACAAAGAGCGATTCACGGTGAACGTGGAGGCGGTTAGAAGGGGACATTTAATAACCGTTAAAGAGCCGTGCCCATCGTAACGGATGTTTTAATCTAAAGTCCATTCCTTATCCATCTTAAGTGTCGTTTTTAGAGCTTATTTCACTTACGGAGCAAGCAAACGCGATGGAAAAAGATATATCTAATAGTATACTATTAGTATACAATTAGTATACAATTGTACATGCCTTAAGGCATGTAGGCATTGTAAACGAAAACACAAGCAGTTTTTAAGAATGTTGCGGTGGCACCTGCGGATAATGTCATTTCTTTCGAAACGTTTACACGGGGGCCAATAAAAAAATAAAGGAGTCTGTGAAATCATACGTACTAAGCGCAAATATCTGACGAGGCTCTTGAAAATGACATATATGCTAATGAAGATAACTGAACAGTAGCAGTAACCATGGTAGTGACTACTGCTGTTAGAATATGTTCTTGTTAGAATATGTTCTTCCTTGATAATACAGAAGGCAAAATGAGGGCTATTTATATGCACGCAAAGCCTGAATTCGAGTTTGAATCCATGAACTAGTTCATGCGCTGTCTATTACAAATAGGTGGGGCAGTTTGGGCGTTCAAAAAACGCAAGGACAACGTGCATTCAAAGCAGAATTTTAAATCGGCGTACCCGAAGTACTATAAACGTAGTTTTGCTAGTTTCGTAGTTGGTTCCAGCAACATCAGCGACAACACATCAAGCCGAGATTCGAAATTTAAATTTCACGAATCAAATAAATCATGATATTCTGCACGCAATTTAGCGTATTATAATAATGTCTCGTGAACAATATAAAAATAACTTTACTATTTCAACCATCTCATTATTATCTCACATCTTTTTAATAAAATATGCATGGTTATTGAGTTCACACTCTACTTGTGTTAAAACAAGAAATGTGCAGCCGAAACTCTAGCAGAAATGCTCGAAAAATCTCTAAGAAATGAGAAATTTCTGATAATTATGTGGGGTAAACAGCTTACGAAATGTGGAAAATCAAGTTAAGAAATTAAATAAATAAGTTAACGCACGCGAGTTTTACAGAAGATAGATGAAGGAATGATTGTGTAGGGAGAATTATAGGTTCTCAAAGTCACCTATTTAGCTAACTTCGCGTGTATCCCTGCAAACTACGTGCGTACTAAGCAAGATCGGATGTGAGAAGTTATTTCTTCCCGACTGTATTATTAGAGTACGGAATAT